CAAAGAATTCTGTATTTACTACGAATTTGACAAAACGTTTGGTTTACAAGTCTCAAGAGAACTATGAGTTCCCTTTCTAAGTGTAATTTTGCACAAGTGCACTGCAGATAACCTCTTCTGGAAAATAACTGTTTGGGCAGCTGGAATTTACTATGATGTCATCAGGAAACTACTGTTACAATAATCCACCCATAATGGCAAAAACAGTTCCTGCAACATTCATGTAATATAAAGCATCCTGCAACACATCACTCTATTTTAGCAGGTGCAGCTTCTAAAAAGCTGAAAAATAAGACATCAGTCCTGTTATTAATATGACTTTTTTTTTTTTGTGTGTGTGTATGACTAAACATTCTGATTTAAATCTTCTGGCTTTCTTAAGCAGAACTAGGAAATGCCTACTTCAGTAATGCTACTTTAATACCAGGGGATCATGCAAAGAGCATTCATAAAGATTCCCCTTCTGTGTCCCACTAAAGAAAAAAAGCTTTTAAGGGAAAGCTGAAATATTAAGATAACAATATCCCATTTAATGCAATTAAAAATTCACTGACTTTAATGACACTGAATGACTCGAACGCTTGCGATGATATTTTTGTGTAACTGGTTCAGTCAATTTGAGGCCTTGCTTCAAGCATCCAAATGTGCATATAAAGCAAGTGTACTGATTTATCTCATTTGTTTACCTTCCTTATTTATGATTTTAAATCTATAAGAGTGTTCTGACAGTTCTTTGCTATTAAATAAAAATCCTGCTCTACAATTAACACAACCATGGCAGGTAAGCCTTGGGATCTATGTCCCACAGACACGTCAGGGAGAGCTCTTGGGAGCTTTGGGGACATTGTAACACCCCCATGCATGGAGCTGAGTTCAAACTGTGCTGTCACTCAAAGCAGCAGTGATCCCAGAGAAGAAAATGCATGCTACAACCCAGACACAGTTGAGATAAAAGATGTCTAATATAACTTAAAAATTAAGCAATAATAAAAAGGCAATGCCTTTAAATGGCACCAAGTTCTCCTTTATATATCTACAGATTCCATGTAGATATATAAAATAATTTCATCATTACAATTGCATATATAATACTTTTCCCCTGAGATCCTGCTGAGCAGGGTGATGAGAAATGTTTTATCATGTGAGCTGGCAATACCCCCATATTACATAATTCTGGAGCTAGATTGCCAAATGTTTAAGGAAACTGCCCTGTATGACCATCCAGGAGCCAGTCTGACATTCACATTCCCACCACCCCAGACTTTCACTGTTGGGACCAAAGTCTCTTCAGAGTGGGTGACTCCAGTGACCCCAGGGTGTCCCTCCTGGTCCCTGCACACCCACACAGTCAGGCAGGGTTTCCTCACTGGCTCAGCCCTGGGTTTCCCATGGGAGAGTCTCAGATGTCTGGAACCCTAAAGCAATTTAATTGTGGTGCAGTAACACAGAAACAGCTGGAGCTGGCACATTTTGCTTTTTGCCTTTTGCTGTGCAAAGCCCTGTGAACCCCACCCAGGCACAACCTGCAGCTCCCACTGCAGGTGCACACCCAGCCTCCTGCTCTCAGTGCACTCCTCAACAAAACGTCCTCACAGCAGGATATAAAAGCAAACCACTCTCTTTTATATCTTCTATTACATTTCAAAGAAAAGATAAACTGAAGTCTAATCAATTGGTTTTAGTTTTTAGAGTCCTGTGGTGGAAGGTGGTCAGTGGTAATTTCTGGATGGCTACAAATGTTCGTAGATTCTCTCTGTACTGCAAGTCTCCAGACAGTGGCCATGGATGAATATGGATTATCTAAATCCTTAGATACTGCTAGATGCTACAGATTGAGGGGTTTTTTTCACCTATAGGTGAACTTCCTGCTGTAAGAAACTATCTCAAGACACTCTTCTGTTTTCTGTCCCCACAATGAGCCCTAGAAAAGCAAAGCAGAGAGCAGGATGTGGGGATAGTTGGTAAACAACAAGGGTTATGAAAAACAGAGCTCCAAGGTACCAATGCTTTCACTCTCAGAAGGTTGCCAAATGCACTTAAATTGTTTCAGTGGAACAGATAACAGTAAGTCCTTCACCATTTTATCAAAGTAGCCAGGGATCAGGAAACCAAATTTGACCCTTCATGACCACAAGCTTTTATCAAACAGTGTCCAGACATTAAATAAGGGAGCAATGAGGGTGGTCTAGTTAAAATCCTCTTTATCTTATGAAAAAGTCCTATCATGGATAGCTAATGACAAGGTACACAGGAGTCAACATATCCGTGCTTGTCACACACACAGATCCTGCCTTAAATGTAGATGTCACTGGAAGATGTATTTACTTTCCTTGCACTTATAAGACATAATAAGCAATTACTTAAAAATTCAGATGCTAGGCATTTTTTAAACACACTAAGAAAGGACATAAGCAAAGCAAGGTTTTGTAGAATCAGTACCTTTTCAAGATGAACAAATATATCCTAACCCATGGACTCAGAACTAAGCGACAGTACAAAGCTACAGAGAAGAAAAATTCAATGGTTTTGGTCTTCATGGCAATTTTAAGTATCCACCATTTACAAGAATTTCCAGATTCCAGCTGAGAAAAGGACAATAAAATGGACCTTCCCCCCCCCAGCTACTACTGCAATGCTTTTATGAGCCTTTTGAAACAAACTTCTGTGCAGGATAAAAATGCAACATATATGGCATTTCTGAGTTTCAACGTACTCTGGTTGTCCTCAAACAATTTTCAGTCAATTTTGTCTGGTAATTAAGCTGTTTAAAGCAAGAGATTCCTTCCTGGCCTGCAAAGGTGTTGAAGAGTGACTGGGAAGTTTCTGATTTCCAGTGTGTTGCTCACATGAGACAGATTGCATAAAAAGAGATAGATTCTAGAGGAACTTGTAGAGAAACACTGAACAGTGGGTGATGCCACTGTTAGCAGAGCTTATTTAGTAACAGACATTGCCAAAGTGTTAGCAAGGGCAGAAGACTCACAGTGAAAAGGAACCATGAGAAGTCAGTTTGGGCTACTGATGAGGTGGCATTTTAACTGTCCTGCTGGGCCAAGGCAACTGCTGTAGTCAGAAACAGTTCCTTTACAAACACTATCAGAAGCAGAGATAGTCCAAAGTGGTCCTTTCCCTGGCATGCTGCTGTAATTTCTGGCAATCAGTAAATTCCCAGTCCAAAAGGTGAGTAGTGTTCAATGGCTGAGGAGGTGTATGGGGAACAATTATTTGTCATGTCTCAGGGCATGACAAATAGCCATCCAATGACTAAAGAAGATACAGAAATTTCATCAGGAAGCAGTTTTAAAAACTGAGAAAGTATATTTTTGCATTTTATTTATTTAAATTGTGGAAGACGGGCATAGGTTGCTTGGAGGCAAAATTAGAAATTGGGTCAACAGCAGTTAGAACTATGGAGGATACATCCAACTGTCCATGCCATTCATTAAATTATAGCTTTCTTTTGCATCACCTCATTTCATTTCCCCTTCTATCCAAAGCATTTAATGGAAAGAATTTCAGTTCTGCCATTTATCCTCCAGGATGATCAGCTTTGCACATAAAATTCAAGATATGGCCATAAAGACATATCCATACATGAACCTCCACTGTTTTGAACCCCTATTCTCAGCATTTTTAACAGTCTGTTTGACCAGCTGCAAGATTCTATTTTCAGATAACAAACACAATAGCTAAATGCTCTTTCCTGAATATCAATAATTTACTTAAGCCCCTTCATTCTAAATATCTTTCTTTCCCTCACTTTGAACTTGGGTGGGTACTCCATTAAAATAAAGCACAACCATGCCAAATCACCACATAGGAACGTTGGAAAAAAAAAAAAGGGAAACCAAGGTAGATTTAGAACTCCATTCTAAAAAATAATTTAAAATGAAAGATGTAAAATATGCAAGATAAACAGCCAGCTTGCTATACTTTGAATATTGCTTCCAGATGTGAGAAGCTGTAGTCAAAGAAAGGTGTGCTCTCTGGTTTTTTTTAAATATCAGATAACGTTTCTGTGAACTAGCTAGAGTCCACAATCTTTTCCCCTTAATACAGACACAGTAGTACTTATTGCATCTGCCATGGGAAATCTGGTTTTCTGATTTGTATAGTAATTGGAATTGTGGCCCTACTGATATAAAATAGGCTTTACTTCCAATTTTTTTTCAAGCCCACATGTGACTCCATAGAAGGTATAAAACCAGTAACCATTAGAATAGTAAATGAAAATCATGCAGATATCTCTAAATAATTTGTGTGAAAAGCTCATTAATTTTCCTGTTTAAAAAAGTAACCTCTTTAAAGTTTCTAACAAACAAATATTAATCCATTCCCATTAGTGACAAATGTAGCAATCCCAAATTTATGATATGTTACATAACGTTACTATTTTGCAGCACTTTTATACTACTACAAACACTGAGGATAAATGTGATTTCTTTAACAGTGTCCCCTAAGGAACTTCAGTTAGAAAAGCACCTGCATCATCATCATCATCAATAAAATCATTCCAGTCCAATGCTAAACTCACATCTGGTTTCACATGGAATCTGCATCCTGCTTTATGTGGGATCAGGTCCCTTGAATTGTGGAAGAACAGGCTGATGGCATCCCAGGCCATGGGCAGAGCCTGTTCTTTTACTAACAGCAGTGTACAACCAACAAACTGAGCTGCCCACTGGAAGGTGTGCCCATCTATCAATCCCTTGAGAGGTCAGACCTACAGGAGCATTGTCATTCTCAGTGTTAAAGCCAAGAGAGAGATCACAAAGTCCAGAAAAAAAATCACCACAACAAAAAAACCTCCACAACAAAACCTGTTAATGCCAGCAACTCTGAGATCAGACATGCCTGAACACTGTACATTTAATTCACAATTTTAGGCAAGTCGAAACCAGACAAAATAACATGAAGAAAAGTAATACCATTAAATGGGAGAGTAATTTTAAAAGGTTCTGAAACATTTTCAGTAATTTGTACATTTTAAATTACTTTACCTTTTCTTCCAATGCCACTGCTGTTCTGCATCATTTCCCATTCCTCTCCTACAGAGATTTTAATTTAGTAGTCACAGCTGTTTATCTTCATTTATCTTGACTGACAGGTGCTCATAGTGTTATTTAATTGTACCATGTCCTGCTAAAACAATAGTAAGAACACAATCTTCAAGACAACAAAAAACAAAACAACAAAACAAACCCAAGAGAGTCTGAGCACTTAGCAATTAATAAAGAGAAGTACTTTATTCACTGTAGCAGCAGAAGTCCATGCTCAATAGGGCTTAAAAGTGGAACAGGACACGAAGCAGTAGAGCTTAGAAGAGCTTAATGAAAGCATAACTCATTAAAGTTCCCAAAGAGACCATGAGAAGGTGAAGGACTTGATAGAGAAGGATCTACATAGTTGGGGAAAAAGAAGCTTTTTACTGATCAAAAGGAACACTGATTTTCTGGTAGGAGTAAGTTGATTCTGTGTTAGAGAAAACATAGCCACTGGGGTAGCAGGGGATAAAAGTTTAATGTCAATATTTAGCATACTTTCGCTGTATCAGTTACCAGAAAATATTGCCATGTAAAAGCAGTCAAAATGGAAAATAATAGGTGAGCAGGAACATTTCTATCAGGAATCAATAGCTATATGAGACAGGTGCAGAGCCAGGAGAGCACAGGCCTCACAGACAAGACAAAGGGAGAGCTGAACGTATCCAATTAACTAATTACTGACTGCTAAAACCTATGAGGGGCAAAGAGAGTTTCTTGCTGACAGAAATAATTTTCCATACCACAGAGGGGTCATGAGCAGGGCAGGGACCATACCTGAGCCCTTTCTGCAAGAAGCTGAAGGAACTTTAAAGCCGTAACTTTGGCACTGGCAAGGCTCTTCAGCCCCTCAAGCGCAGCTGAGGGGGCACCATGGAGGAGCACACCCTCTCAGTGTGAAACACCTGGGGATACTTCTACAACTTACACCTGCCCAGGATTATTTATTCATTAACTTCGTTCTCCTCAGAGCTCCACCAAAACACAAAATTCAAACACGCTGTTCCATCTACCAGAACATAAACAGAGACTTTCAGTCTCAGACCTCAGGTGCTTTCCACCTGCACATAGGCTGGATTGCTACAGTGATGCACATGCCTTGGTGGGGTTTTCAAACTCTGGGAAGCATGGGAGGTGTCCCGCCCCGGGCCGTGTGTCCCGCTCCAGCCTGCGTGTCCCGCCCCGGGCCGTGTGTCCCACACAACGGCCTTTTCCCAACGCCCCTCAACCGCGGTGCACAAGCCCTGGGAAAGGAGGGGAGCCCAGCCCCAGGCCCACGCCCCCACACACACAGACCCCTCCGGGCTCCCACCCTCTCTCCCCACAGGCCGGTTCCTACCTGCCGGCCGTGCCGGGGCCGCGGGGAGAACGGGAGAGCAGCGGGGAGGGAGCGACAGCGGCCGCCCGTCGCCCGGCAACGCCGCGGCCCCGGCACCTGGAGCGGCCCCCGGGCCCGCCCATCCATCCGTCCGTCCGTCAGTCCATCCATCCTCCCTTCGCAGCGGCCCCGCCCGCTGCCCGCGCCGGGAGGAGGAGGAGGAGAGCCTGAGAGCCTCCCGAGGCAGGAAGGGTTCAGGGCTGGGAGCAGCAGAGCAGCGCGCATGCAGTGGGAAAAGCGGCGAGGCAAAGAGCGGGAGCAAAATCGGGGGAGCAGGGGTGAGCACGGAACTGAGGACAGGAACGGGACGGGAAAAGCAGCAGGCCCTGTGTGGGACTTGGGTGACCTGTGATCACACGGCTGAAATGATCATCTCTGTGGACATCTCTGTTCCTCACAACATCCAAAACCTTTGCCGGCCGATGAATAACGACATCATCATTCACAAAGGTGATCCCACACTGCTGTAGTGTGTGCAAAAAATGCAGCTTGTGGTAGATAACAAGGCTGGTTTCACCAAATGATTTTGCATTAAAAAAAAAAAAAAAAAAAAAAAAAAAAAAAAAAAAAAAAAAAAAAAAAAAACAAAAAAACCAACAAAGAAAACCCCCCAAACAACCAACTAAAACCCAAACAGACTGAAAGAGTAAATTTCCAGACCAGAAATGTCAAAAGATTAGACACGTGAGAATGAAGTTTGTAATAATCTGGATCCAACAGATGTGGTTCAACTTTTGTTGGTGACATCATTAAGCACCTCAGTGCAAGAGGGCAGCTCTTACCATTCTCACTCACAGAAGACACCTACATTTCCACATTTCAATATAGGATTCGTACATCAGGCACCTAGGAAGATGTGATTCCTACCACATCCTCTGAGGTGCTCAGTGGTCCCACAGGAAAAGCCTGCTTTTTCAGGGCTTTACCTTCAGGATGGCCCCCAGCATTTTCTCAACAACAGCCCTTAGCAGTGTTTCTCTCAGGGGCAGAAAGGCAAGAGGTCTGGAGGGAAGGCAGAGTCCTGCTGGCCACGTAGTAGCTGCTGGGGTTTTGACTACACTGCTTGCATGCAATTCACCCCCTCACACCTTCTTAGTGAGGATGTGGGAGGGCAGCAGCTGCTGGTGAATTGCATCAGCATTTCCTCTATAACTACATTCAATTTACTCTAGGGTTTGGAAAACACTTAAACCATAGGTCAGGAAATGTGTTGACTCCCCTCTTGCAGGGTCTGACGGTCAATTAACATCAGGGAGAATCACCAGGGGACTGATTTTTCCAAGATGATGAGCACACTCAGCTCCACCTGCTGTCATTGCAATCCAGCTGCCCATCTTCACAGGAAGGAAGGCAATGGGCCTTGACGTGCTCCAGGAAGGTAGAGTGATTCAGTGAAAACAATACTGAATCAAGCATCTGCCCCTGGAATTTTATTCCCAACTCTGCTGTTTTTTTCCCAGGTAACTAGCTCAAATCACCTTGACTCAGTTTCCCAACATACACCTTCTTGGGACACTCTTCCCAAATATTATCTGTGGATCACATGTATTGTATTGTGTATGCACACATCTGCATGGCAATTTTCTTATTTTTCTTATTTTGCTAGAAATAATCTACTTATGGCCAACACAGTCTGAACTATTTGAAACCAATTGAAGAAATGCATCTTTCCATCACTGAGGAAGAGAAAATTCTGGCACAATTTCAGGGTGGATACAGAAGCTTTATGTCTCTTTATTCAGAGTTACTGTAATTGTGCTGGCACCATTCCCAGAGCTGAGCTAAGGTCAGCGAGAAATCTGTAAATTAATAACTGTGAAGCTGATGTGATGTCTATGCAGGAACCATGTTGTACATTCATGAAGCTTTATAGGAAAGAAAAGTAATGTTTCAGTTTATCCAAGAAAGTTTTAGAATCCTAGTATTGACAATTAGCATACCTTGGACCTACCTGGAGACAGTGGACCTGCTTCTGATCTCACCTTCACAGGAACTCCAAAATATGTGTTACTCTGGATTAATTCCACTGGTCCTACCCAAATGAACAGGAATTGGGTGAAGCCTCCTCTGAAAGCCAAGCCTAGATAAACTTCCTTTTCCTTTGGGAGTCTTATTTTACAAGAAGAGATTTGTCTGTTTCTTCTGGTTTTATTCAGTCACAAGCAACATCCATTCAATTCGGTCCATAATTAATATTATTGATCAATAGATAATCACTGTTGCTACTTGCATAATTAACATTTAAGAATTTCATTGTCCTACAACTCAGAAACACAGAACCAGAGGGAACTTTCTGGTCAGAGGAAAGTTTTCTGCTATTGCACATAACCCAGACTCATTTAGACATGTATCAGAATCTCCCCCCTTCTGAAAGATTGTTCAAAGTGTCTCTCAAAAGAAGGTTCCCCCTGTAGCCTCATCTCTCACCCTCATTAGTAAGCCCTGTAATCACCTTTTTTCTTGTGAGAATCCCTTTTCTAGCACAACTAACAATTTCATAGAATCATAGAATAGTTTGAGTTGGAAGGGGCCTTTTAAAGGTCATCTGATTCAAGTAGGTAATACAGAACAAGGATATTCATCTCCATTTTATACAAAAAGACAAAAATCAAAACTAATCTGATATTAAGTGGAGAACTCAGCCTACAGTACTGCCACCCTCACCCAGATTGCAGTTCTGCTAGAAAATTTTCCCATCTTCTTGTATTGCATGATAAGCAGAACACTGCCAGCTTTGGTAATTCTTCTGCTGGTTAAGAACTAGCAGCTACTGTAGCATTTTCAAAAAAAAATCAGCTCAGGTCTGCAGAAACAGCTTTGAAGTCTCGACTGTGGCATTAACCTCATGGTTTCACGTGATTGAAGTCACTGTGTTCAGGAGATGATGTAAGAACAGTTTCGACCACAGCAGGTGTTGAGAAGTTCATCCTCAGAAGCAATGAATGAGGCTGAGAGACTGATCCAAAGATCCGGAGGATGACAGGAGTCTGCAAATTGAATTTATTTTTCTGTTACTGCACCTGGCATGAAAAGAAAGGGCAATGAGAGAATTCAGTTAATAAAACATCTTCTCTGATTCAATGAATCTGGGCATTTGTTTTTGCTCCTTTTCACAGGCTTATTTGAATTCATAAACTGCAATCAGAAAGGAAAGCTTCATCAGAAAACATTTGGCATTTTATACAAAGCTGTATCTTTTCAAACTGAACTAGACCTGGAAAAACTTTTGATAACAGTTTTTATAGAGTATTTGAACTCACACTGAAAGATGGGCATCCATAGTTTTATGTTGCCCTTGCTTCTATAAAGAAGTGAACCAAACTACTGATGTCACCAAAGTGACACAGAAACTGTGTGTGGCCTTTGAAGGTGACCACACACTTCTGAGGTCCTGAGCCACTGCTGAGGGACAGAACCTGTCTCCTCTCACTGCTGCAGGCTCGCTCAAGGAAAGTGAACACCCTCCTTGGCTTGGTAAATTTCTGGGGTACTAGAAGGCAATAAAAACACCAAGTGGTACCTTGTCCTAGTGTAGGGTCTCTTAGGGGAAAGGTGAGCTTAAGACAGGCTTCAATTGCATTGGGATATCTCTTTAGCTTAAATCCTGACTCCGCTCTGCTGGGAGGGAAGATCTCTGGCAGAATCCCACTTACTTTAAAGCAATACCCTGTGCAGATGCCACACCAGAGGGATCTTTCCTTCCTTTGTGCTATTGCTTTAGAAAAGCAGATTCTGGTTCATGACCAAGAGATTCTACTCAGAGGTAGTTACATTACTGTGCAGTCAAGATGATTGATTGGGATGAAGGACATGGGGTAGCAAAGGTGAGATAGGGCAATGTATTAATATTTGAGCCACTGAACCAGGACTGCCTAATTCCAGAAGGGCTTATTTCCTATTTCTACCTAAAGCATAATGAAAAGTTGTAAATAAATTAATAAATGTAATATTTTTCTCCCTTTACATTTTTACAGGGAAAAGGAAACAAAAGCTTCTTATCTGAAAAAAATACCGAGAGCCAGAAAAACATGCTTATACTCCCTTGTTTATTTAATTCCTGGCTCCAGATGAATAAATGGTGACTTGAAATCCCTGTGTAGAAGTTATTATTATTTTGTGCCTCTGTTCAAGGCCCTCTAACTTTCTCAGTTTCTTTTGGGTCAAACTATTTCCTGGTTTTGGAAAGCTCAAGGATGCTGTCTGCACACATGTGCTTTTCCAGTGTATGGTATCCTGTCCCATGGTATGGGACAAATCCAAAGCTTCTCTGCAACTGCCAGATGGTAATTTTTATCGAAGAATTGGTAGGTATAAATCCCATGTTGTTACAACTGTAGTACCACTACAGGGCTTCATTCAGTTTAGCTGTATCACTGTGCTTGTTGTGGTAGGATTCCTCTGCAAGAGAAAGTCTTGCTGAGAAGCCTTAAAAATTACAGACTTTAAAATATAAAAGGAAGAGCACTGGCTGCAGGATTAACGCCCCTGGGACACAGAATGTCTCTTCCTGATGATATTTATAATCCACACCTGGACCACATTATTGGTGGTCCTTGCATTTCTTCTGGGATCAATTCCATGGTCAATGATTGAGTTACAACTTTGTTTTCAACATTAAAGTAAGGGGAAAATGAATTGATGTTGGAAAGGAGTGATAGTCAGTGACTCTTCCTCCACAGTTTTTCAGGAACAACATTTGTTCTTTTTCATCGCTTGCTGCAGTATAAAGGAACCTGTGGCCTCACTGCACTTTTTAGGTTTGTTTTTCCAAGCAGGATTTAGCAGTGAAATTCATCTAGCTGTCTTCAGACAGGGGAAACGGCAGCTTTCCAATGTGTACTTGCTTTTGGTGCCAATGCAAAGCCACCATAAAATGTTACTGAATCAGAAAGGGGTTGTTATTTTCACTTCCCATCAGTGTGACAACATATGATGTGAAGGAGTGGAGAAATTGGGGCTTTAAAAAAATTTAATCAGGTCAAAGCACCAGTTTGCGTGCCATTACACCCCTAGTTTGCATGCACTTTGCACAGTTCAAAGCTTACTCTGAATGCAACTCATGTACACTGGGGCTTTCAGCCATCACAGCAACAGCACCACTGTGAGCCACGCTACAGACAACAGCTCTGGCAAAAGTCCTCAACAAATCCCCATCCTGCAGGGCAGGAAATAAGGTGGCTGGAGAGCAGTCTGCAGATGTGGAGGGAGGAGATCAGCAGGTAGATAAATGGGGCCAAGCAGTTTTGCAGTCTGGAACAAACGCTGTATACCCTGTGCATCCCTGTGCTCACCCAAGTAATCCTAGGGCCAGCACCTGCAGCCTGAAGACACGGCTCCCTGTCCTAACACTCTAAGAGCCAAAGTCCCCCTTTTGCCTTAGGTGCCCTGCCCAACACCAGGGTTGTTTCAGCTCCACAGTCTACGAGGTGATTTGTGCTTCCTTCTGGCTCAGCATCAGTGAACGAACTGAGCAAAGGCAACAATGGTCCTCTCTGCTCTGTCAAAGGAACCTTTGACCCTACACATCTGCTGCTGCTGCAGGCAGCTTGGAGTCAAGTTCAGCAAATACTGCACAGGAATAAAAAGTGATGCAACACACCACCATACCATACTGGGATTTTCCCTAGAATTTAAGCAGCTCAGGTTGCCTTTTCCATGGACAGCCTCTTTGGAAAGCCTTGGGATTCATCTATATTTGGGTCATTACCATGTATAACTTCCTCTAGACTACTAGGAAGAATCCCATCCTCATGGAGAATGAAGAATGTTTCCCTGTCCCCAAAATAACAGGAGAGACCTGATTTCTAGGCACTCTCTTTAGAGCTTTGGCTCTGATTCTGCATAATGTGTGCTTAGAAAAAGGACTGTGTACTTACATTCCAGTGGCTAAGTTAGAATAGTGATGAGAAAAGATGTATTATTGGTATGTTTCTGTATGTTTTATGCACTGTCTAAAAGTTTCAGTAAAAATTCAGCTTTATTACCTAACTCAGCATGCTGGCTGGGACCCAGACAGATGTTCAGGTAGTGTTTCCAAGTACTGAAAACCATAAAACACATCCCAGTCCACAGAAATCTCACACCTACCCCAAAAGCCTTGCTTAACAGCCTTTTTAAGGTTGGATCTGTCAGCAGCCCCACTGTGTAGTGACAGTACATGGCAGTGACCATGGCATGTTGTCTTCCACAGGGGACTCCAGTTGCATTTGTGGGCCAGCTCTTTGGCCATGAAAACCTGCACTTTATCACTGCTCTTTGGCCTGAATGCCTGCCCATTTGGCTAAACACTCCATCCTCTTTTCTTGAAACACCTTAGAAGAGACCCTGGGTTAACCCTAATATTGGTTGAACAGAAACTCCTGGTGCCTGAGCTGGGTCATGGGCATATGGCTGAACAAATCCCTTCAGAAGAAGACAGAAATTTAGAATGGGAATCCTCCCATGTCCACAAACTACTGTTATTTTTAGGAGCCATGAAGCTCCTATAGTACTGTGACTTACCTTCATTCACTTCCTTCACAGTCCAAGGAAAGACCTTTCATTCCTGGATTTTCCCACTGTTAGAAACAGAGATGGACTTTTGACAAAGTGAAATGTGTATCCCCCAACAACTCCTGACACATCACCACTGGCAGAACCCATCTTCCTTGGAAGGCACACAAGCTTCCCTTGTCCTGCCCTACAATGGCCGCTTCCTATGCCATGCTGTGGTTGTACTAAAACAGACCATTCCAAGTAACCTTGCATACCAAACACTGGCAGCTGGCTAATATCTAAGTTATCAGTTGATTTCTCCCTGCAGTAACAGATCAAGTTGCAAGTTGAGCTGCTATTAAAAATATAATTTCCTTCTCGTTCTCCTTAAAAGCCAGTGGGAACACAAGTGTCTAGGACACAACTATATAGTCTTTGTTTACTGGTTAACTCCTGGCTTGTGGAAGCAGATTTTCCAGGCGTAGATCACAGTTTCCTTTTCTAGAGAATTGGGCAGCTGGACATATGCCTACAGCTGTTTGCACGGGTCACTTCTTTCTTCTTTCAGATACTCACTTCACAACACATGAGCAACACACACAGCCCTTGGCAACCTGGAAAGTGAAATATAGAGACCTGGGGGGCATGGGGGTGAAGGGGAGGGAAATAATAACCCCACCATGGGTGTGATTCAAATCTATTGACGTTAAAGGAAGTGATTTCAACGTGCACCATCTACTCTACAAAGAGGTGCCAAACTAACCCTAAGCTATTGGGCTTTCCAAAAGCTCCATAAAGACCATGTTTATAAATAGGTGTTGTGTTGATGACAACTGTTGTGATAATTCCTGGTCAGTAATCATTACAATAAAATCCTTGCTCCAGCAGTGTTTGGCTGCAGCAAGTGCTGTATGTAGGTACCAGGGATTAGGGCTGATGAAAAAGCCCTGTCTGGATGGAGAGAGAAAAGAGAGACAATAAATAAAGGAATTAGCCTGAGGAATATTTCAACCATGGTTCTGTAAATATCACAGATAAGGAAAGATCTTACAGTAGGAATTGTCTCCAATTTGGACATAGCAATATCTGAGTACTTTTCATCCAGCAAATTTTTAACACTGTCTATGAAGGAACTTTATATAATTTTTCCTGCTGCAGCAGGAAATGTTGCTTAAGCCCAACATTTTAAAATACCTCTGCCATGTGGAGATGAGCAGATGACTCAGGACAAACATGCAGACCTCATCTTGGCCCTTGGACAGGTGCTGTCCTATCACAGTACATTTATGAAATCAACAGGCACAATATGCTTCTGGAAAAAAGCATGCCAGCCAGAGAGCAGAACTGCTTGCACAGTGAGTGCACCTGGCATTACAGGTTGTGCTGCAATCCAGACCATCTATAGGTACCAACTATCTATGAAGGGAGCAGCTCAAAGAGCTGGGACATCCCTCAGGATGGGATGTGCTGCTTGCTGCTGTACCAAAGCCAGCTGAATGATGGCTCAGAACAAGGTGCAATTTTTGTGTCAACAATGGAATCATCAATACATGTGTCTGCAGGCTTCACACCAAATCCCTTTCTTGGAACAATGCAAAGGGAGTTAAAGGGGTATTTTTTTGTTGAACCTTAGACTGAGCTCCCCTGCTCCAGACTGCAGCACACAGACAGTGGGAAGTGCGTGCGGACAGACAGGACTTTGCTCTCTAAACCAGGCTGGCTCCTTGCCCAAGCCTCAAATGCAGCCTGTGAGGATTTGACTCCAGACAATTTGATGGATACTGTGTGGGTGCTGGAGGCAAGAGAAGCCAAGAAAATGAAATATCTGTCTGTCAGTTGCACTGTTTCCTGAGACATTTAATACAAATCCTTCACTTCTGTAAATATACTCTGCATGCTGCAATAGGTAAGGTGTGGTTCTAAGTGTGCTACTATGAGAAAAGCATGCAATGCATAAACCAAAACTGAGTGTTTCATCTACAGATGAAATCAGATAGCATCATTCCTTAAAAGAGGTAATATCATCCACGTGATGAATTAATTTATTTCTGCAAACAGGTCATAAATTATATGTCAGCACAGTAATCCCCATTTATCCCATTCTTTGACCTCCTCTGCAATATGCCTACTGAGTCTTTTCTACCTGCACTGCTTTTAACTTCATCAAGTGCCTTAAGCCCTCTGAATTTTGATCATCGATTACCAACAACTGCAGTGATTAAACTGAAGTCTGTACCATCCTCATTACTAAAAACTCACCACTTGCCTTTTCTGCAAATCCCATTTCAACTCTCCTCTTCCCCCTTGTCTGCGTCTGAATGAAAAAAATATGTGGGACCATTTCCCGGGGTTAATTTTTAATAGTATCCTCACTGCTGCAGCAGATGAAGTCATTTATTATCCAGCAGGCAGCATGCTAACATGCTGGGCAGTGGCAAATGCTGAAGGAGGTGACTCAGGCATAAGCAATCAGGCAGAGCTGTGCATTCCCACCTGCCGGATGGCTCAGCACACAGAGCCCAGCACAGTGTTTTAGTTTACCCTACACGTGCATCTTCATCCAAGGGACACCTGGATTCCTGCCATGCAGCCAGTGAGCTTTATGTGCTTCACAGTCATGTGCAAAGCACGTACACAGAGGCTAGCCCTGCCTCCACCTGGGCACTCTCTTCCTCTAAAAAAAGTGGTCATCCCTGCTGCAGCAATGTGTCAGACCAGGCAGTTTGGCCCTAAATAACACTTTGTGATCTCAGGCAGACTGGAGCTCAGCCTACCCACCTGTAAAACAGGTTTAATGGTAGTTGGCTTTTTTAATAGAAAAGCTGGGAGGATTACTTCATGTCTGAGATCTCTAGATGAGAATTGCTTAGTTGCAGAGAGTAGTTTAAAGGAACAGCTCAAAATTAGGGCCAGAGCAGGCTAGCAGCCCAGTGAGCAGGTAGAAATGACTACAGAAGCTGCACTGTTCTTGTCTCATTACCCAAGAGTCTCAGAAAGTCTGGGATGCAGATGATTCACAAACCAGAAAGTGCTTTTGAATTACTTATTAAGTAGGATTCATGTTGCTTTTACTGCTCTGGGATGCACAAGGTCGGGCTGCAGAATCCCTTTTCCCATCTCCTCAGAGTGAAATGTGGTGGTAATGGAGGGTTCACTCACCCATGTATCTATCACAGCTGTAATTTTGCCTCCACAGAGTAGACCAAAGGCCACTGAAGAAGTACGTGAACCCTCCCTGTATCTGCAGTAAGCTTTGGATCAGACCTCAGTAAGCCAACAAGAATGTGCAGCTAAACATGCTACAACAAGTTCACTGGCATGTGCTGATCTGCAGGAGAGCCAGTCTGCGTGTGCTCCTGAAAACCAGGAAGATCTTGACTAAGAAGGCAGCAGCTTCCTGCTTAGTCCTCACTGGAGCACCAGTGCTGCTTAAAAGAGGAAAGGGAGCAGTTCTGAACCCATTCCCTCTCCTGTTCACCGTCCCAGAGAAGCCAGAGGGAGGTATTGCTTTACTCTAAATTCACTTTGTGATCACCTAAGCCCCCCCAGATCCCACTGCTAGTAAGCTCCAATGATTAAACAGCTCACTGAAGGGAAAGTACAGGTAAAACCTTCTACTCCCATCAAAGCATACTGCTAACAAGAACTGGGAAATCACCCAGTGTTAATACAACATCTGGAGATTAACACAGGCTATGATAGCCAATGGCTGAAATTCCATCAATCACTTGGATTCATGTAACATTTGTGATCAGTGTTTTCGTATGCTAACCTCAGTATTTCCCCAAGTGAAGTCTGCTGACTGAAAATAGGAAATACAAAGTTGTGAATCTGAAACCACAGAAGAAATTTGCAATACATTGCTTTGGGCATCTCAGCTTAGGAATGTTGTAGGAGGTCTGACTTCTGAAATGGTTAGCACTGGCCCCCTGAAAACCCTCAGAGAGTATCTGGGTGATTTGCACACACACACACACACACACACACACACACACACACACAGAGTCACACCACTGCTGAGCTCATGAACGTCTGCCTGAAAAGTTACCTAGGAACATGAAATGGACATGCACCAGTCCTGCAAGATGCAAGTGACTGCAGGTCCTCTTCTGTTTTTCACCTTCCCTGATGGAGAAGCAGCAGAGGAAAGGGGATGAGCAAACTGCAGACAAAACCACCAAGATGCTATAGTCAACTTTATGGCTTCAGTGTGGGAAAGTTCTGTAATAAGAAAAGGGGTAACTGCCAGCAAAAAGAGAATCTGTGTGAAATAGGTGCAGAAATACCCTGGTGAGGTCAACTCTGTCATGTCTCTGACTGAAGGGATGACTTCTAGCCCTGTGCTGCTCTTGAAGGCATTTGTGTGGGAGGACTGTGCCCTCACCTTTACTAGGGATTTCTCAGGACAGCCTAGACAGGATAGTGACACAAGAGCAGAGCCTCACTGCCAAGGAAACCTTTCAGTATCTAACCTGGATCTCACTTGATGTGGGAATACTGCTACCACCATAAACTCCCAGGGAGCTCCATAACTCAGGATCTTTAGCTCTGCCAATGAGCAGCTGCACTGCAGGACAGTGTCTACCTCTGCTATAAATAACCTCAAGGCTGAGGTCACCTATGGACTTGGTTACTGCAGCAGCATGTGTTTGAGGAAATCACAGAGAGGGATGGAGGGGGAGCTGGAAATGCTGCACAAGAGCATCAGGAAGAGGCTGCCACAGAGGAAAACACCTGTCCATAATGGAAAGGGACCAGATGAGCAAGCTTTACTAAGGTTGGGTAGGAATAGAGCATACACTGGTGTGTTAAGAGCACTAAGAAGCAGAGAGATGCTGGGAAGGCTGGATTCTGTCCTCCTCTCCAGTCTGATGTATTGTATTGTATTGTACTGTATTGTAATGTATTTCTGCTTTACATCAGCTTTACTTTCTTGCATAAATAGGAACCAAGGCTCAGGGCATCTCCTCACAGTAGAAGGAAAACCAGAATTTAGTCAGGGAATTAACAGAAGAGAAGGCTCAGCATGATGAGAAGGCTCATGATGATGAGAAGGAGGGCTGCATGGTAGGGTTAGAGACAATGTGTGGCCAGTATATTAAAAACAGTCAAAGGAAAAGGAACCAGTAGTTTAACTGGATAAACACAAATGTCTTTAATTCTGTCTAGTTCTACCATGTGTGCATGGCTGAATCATGCTGTGCAACACTGCTTTGAAATTTCTGCAAGAAAGAGATGTAGTTAGCAATTGTTCTTTGATGCTGAGGAGAAGAAAATCAGCATTAGCTGATGAAGAAGAAGAGTATTTTAAAAAGAATACCAATAATCTTTGTGTCTTCTCCAGGAGAACATGTGGGACGGTCTGAGATTTCAATACAAACTCATCTGGTACAGAGAGGCCTTGAACTACACAGATAAATCTGTTGCACATCAGTGAATGCAGAAATGATATAGAGCACAACACATTCCTTAGCAACTCATCCCACTTCCACTCTGGAAATCTGGCTCCTGCCAGCAAAAGTGACAGATGACCCAGAGCATGGTAAGTGATCCAAACTGTCCCATTAAAAAAACTGGTAGCATATCAGTTGCAAAGGGTTCAAACTTTTCTGTAGAGTTTGAAAAAAAAAACCACATGGGGACTAAATATCACAAGGGCTTCTTAACAAAAAATAAGGCTTCCAGCTTCTACAGACCTGAGTTACTGCTCTATGAAGACGAAGGCAAAAGCCCAAAAGTGCAGTGATCTGAAGATCAGGCTCCAAGGGAATGATTGACATTCCATTCAGGCTGACAGCTAACAAAAGCTCCTGTACATATGCCAGCAAGCCACTGCCAGGAAAATCAGTGTTGCTCCCAACTTGCAGATTTCTGCATTACCAGGCCTCCTACTGTAGCTGACCCTTGCTGATCTATGCTGGCAGGCACAGCAGAGGGTGGAAGGAGACACAGGACCTCACCAACCCTGGCAACTTTTGATGAGTTTGGGCATTTCTTGAAAGAATCAGTGTCGTTTCTAAGTGTCTCAGGCTCCAGATTCGGAACATGATCAGCTACAACTCCCTGGAAAAAGCACAAATAGCCAAAAAGGACATTTGCTGGGGGCTTAAGCAAACACCCCAGGAACAATCGGGACACTGCAGAGGGCAGTGTGCTTCAGATCAGACTGAAATTGTCAGGCACCTGTAGAAAGCCACTCTGCTTGTAAATACCCAGAGATCAAACCCTTATCTCATCTCTCCCCCTGCTCACCCCACACAGCAAAATCTGAAGCCCAACCATCCCATTATCCACTCAGGGGAGGGGCTCATGTTACCAAGTATTGCATACCACATCTAGGGAGATATGATAGCCTTTCATTCCCACAGTGTCTCTAGAAGGAGTCTGACTGGGAAATGACCAGTCTCTGAATTATGTCTTGTGTGTGTGTGTGTTTGGGTTGTGGGGTTTTTAATAGCAAAAAAAGGAATCAGCAGCTGTCTGTATTTTTAAACTATGGAACATAAATCTCCTTCCACTTCCAAGCTCTGATTACAAAGTCTTTCATTTCTGCGATTCCAGAGCATCATCTCTGCAAGTTTCTATTCTCAGTTCAAAATTGACCAAATCCAACTGTTAGCAAAATTTATTTCAGTCAACAGAAATCTTTTCTCTCTCGAGTTTTGGTGGGGCTTGAGCCAGGCACTTGGCAAGATGCTGCCTTGTTTACTTCAAAAAGGAAATCCATCATAAGAAAGATCTTGTCCTGGATCAGATAACACTCCAGAAGTGACGACTTTGCTCTGCTCAACAAAAACCTTCTGCAGCATTTCAAATTATTTGGTTGAAAGAAACCTGAGCACAATTATTAAGTAGAATTTAATCCAATATTTATGCCATTATTTTAGGGATTAAAACCAAAGTGGTCCCATTCACTGCTTGAGTCATCTGAAGCAATGCCGTGCCTTTGGAGATTATATAGAGGAAGATTTTGTTGATTTATTGAGGACTGATTAACTAATTCAGTGTTTTCTTTTGTTAATTGATTATTCCAGGAGATCTTTCCAGTTCAGTGTCAGTCTTAAAAACCCTTTGCAGTTGGACTGCTGCTTCCAAATCTTAAGTATCTCCAAGATTCCCAGGCCCTTGAGATGACAGTACACACTTGTGGCATTTAACACTTGTGATGTCTCTTGGTACAACGTGCACTAAGGATAAGCCCACTGACTTTTCCCAGTCTCTAGGAAACTGTGTTAAATTATAGTGTTGAACAGTTTTAGCTTGGTTCCTTTGAGATGACTTTCATTTATCTCAAGGTTTCTTTGTGTTGCAGGAGACTCAGATTTTTCCCAAGTCTTTTTATAGTCAGTCACTCACAGTACAAGAATTCAGTGTCAAGAGTGAACTCTAGCTTTGCATCTCACATAGATTCATCTGATACTTAGAGAGTTTATTTTCAAAGGCTTCTTTCCAAGTCATGCTATTGTCAGGGTTTGTTATCTAGCAGCATTTTCTCTACAACCTCACCAGGAAGCTAGAAGAGAATTGTCCATGAGTCACAAGAATTTTACCTGTGCATTCAGCTAGGCCCCAGGCAGCTCAGAAAGCCGGCCACTGTTTCTCAAGCATTAGCACTAGTGAATGAACAGCATAAATTTTAACTGGGAGAGAGTGTTTTTAAAATAGAAGTGGAAGCATACACTTCAGTCCATCACACAGTTGGAGCTATGTTACTTGTGGCTCAAATCAGTAGTCAAGGTATTAAGAAACTTTCAGCTTTTCCTTCACTTTTCAAATCTGTCACACAGAAGACATCCTTTCCAGCTCCAGAGTAAAGCATACCCTAGATCCACTTCAGGTCTATAAATGAGCCTATCCTCAGCACAGGATAGTTCTGCTGGCCTCTGTGCACAAACAACAGTTTTCAAAACTGTCCTCCTCTGAACTAATAAACTCAGCTTTTATTTCCTCTCAAAGTGGTAACTGTGACAGTTTCCCCTCTCTGCCCTCAGCTGATTCCCTTTGCCATTTCTACATTCACTTACTAACCCAAGCAAGCTGAGTGGAAATGAGTCTGTCCTTCCCAGAAGCATCCCTGTAAAGAGAATGGGTTTGACTTACTTCACTTAAAAAAGAATAAAGAAGGACAGTAAAACAATGGAGACTGTCAGAGAATGCAAGCCAAATTAATTTCAGAATTGGTTCATCCCTTACTGGCATCTTCAGAGTTGCATCAGCTTGGAGGAAATGGATTTGTCTTTGTGTTTCTGAGAATCCAGCCTTGTTTCAATTCTTCTGAACACTTCCTTCTTTCCTTCTGACTGCATTTCAGCTTTGATCCAAGTATCAGATAGGCTCACAAGGCAGATGACTTGCACCAAATTGAACACAAACTTCTACTGACAGGTTCTGCTACCTAGATGATGCATGACACACAAGTGAACTAAACTGATAAGGTCTCAGCTTCTTTCCCTGTTATAGTAACAAAGCACCTTGTAATGATATAATTTTTTCTGTTCCAAATGCTGGTTGCCATGATAAGTTACTTGTGTTACTCTGTCAGATACTACAAAGAAACAATTTGCATTCCCTAGAAAGATAGAAATTTTTAAAAGTTGATTACTTATAATTTTGCTTTCTGCCATGACCCTACTCACTCTCTAAGCTCAGGGAGAGATGGGCAAGAAAACATCCCAGTATGAGAAAAGGACTTGCATGTTTCTTGAGTCTAGTGTATCTTCAGGAGGATTAAATTAAAAAATCATGAAGAATATAGTGCAATGGGGAAGCAAAACTCACAGAGATCTCTGCTTTTCTCAGTATGCTGTCAGAGACATTGTCAGAGGGAGCACAATGACAGAGCCTTCCTTGCAAACACTTTCCAGTAAAGTTTCAGTCACACAGAAAAAGCATGCATTCAGAAAAACAGATTAGGGTGAGCTCAAATGCCATGGAAAGAACCAGAAAGCAAACTGCATGATTAAAATAGGTGAACTTGTAGATATAGTGACAACAGGAGACCCAAAACAACAATAGCAATTGACACCACTAATCTACTCCCTCTGTCTGCTGAGAACTAATAAACCTTCCAGTATATAAAAAATATATAGTGGATATCTGGATGTATTTAAGTATGTATCCTTGTGAAGCTACAAAATTACTGTTACCTACTGTTACCTACCTGCTGATGATTTTGATGATCACAAGAAGACTTTTTCATGTTCTTTTGAGTTTTTTACTAGGGAGAAAGAAAGAATAATTCAACTTAGGTGTTTCTAGTAAAAAAACACTCCAAAAAACCTCCAATTTTAAAAATGTAGCTTTGATCTGTAGCTGATGAGGAAGTTCAGTTACTCACTAAGCTCTTGGCATGTCTGCATGTCACACAGTGGACAGCTAAGTTTATGTTTTGTCTACAATTCCCCTCTCACAGAAGTGAAAGCGGGGGTGAAAATATCAAGGAGTTAATTTTGGGTCACAGTACCTACAAAAATCAGTAATGTACCTTCACAGACTGAATTTAGTGTGTTGGTACAAAAAGCCATGACAGGATAAGCATGTCGATGAGTTATGGCCTTCCAGCTGCAAGCTGTGTACATTTTGGTGAAAACAATCATGAAAAATTGAAGGAATGGGAATTGAAGGTATTTCAACTCCACTGCGCATTTTGTTTTTGAGTTTTACTGTGGCAGTAAGGACCTAAGATACTCTCACTTTCCTTTTCATTGCCCTGCATGCCAGTGGACCCAGTACTTGGTTAGCCTTCCTTTCCTGTCAAGCAAGGCTCACAACAGTTAGAGCACTGCAATCCAGACATTTTCCAAGAATTAAACTCAAATTTGGAGAAAGAAAGGAATAATCTGCTCAGGAACAACAATTTTTTACAAATAGAATGGGCTATGACCTCAGAAAGTGTAAATCCATGCTCTGATAAAAGCATGGAGTTACTTTGCTTTGCCACAACTGAGGATCTAGTCCCAGTATTTTGCTTTTTTATCAAAAAGTAGAAGGGGTAAGAAGACACTTTTAAGCTATTATCACTCTCTGTGTCTTTGCAAGTCTGTGCCATCACCCCTCAGCCATTGTGGGGTTGTGACTCACCAATAGGTGATTCCGTCTCTGTCTTCCAGCAGTCTGCAAACAAATAGTCCTCAGGTATCTTACAGCCTGATGTGATCTGGCACTGAAGAATGAGCAAGAGAGAGGCAGTTTCAGTCTCCTCCTCTGGTCTTTCTTGGTTCTTTTAGGTCACTGAGAAGCCCAGGAAGCATGAAACTGAGGTTCCCCCATAGCTGTGTCTTTTTACTACCAGTTTGGCGCTTGCTTCCTGACAAGTTCTTCTGGGCCACCTAGGTACCAAAAAAGAGAAGCCTGTTTTCAGGGTGCTTCAAAAAGCGAGGCTCCTGCATGCTCCAGTACCCTGGCTGCTCGTTAGACACGGCTACAAGACGAGACAGGTAGCCCGGAGAGGCGGCGCACGGTGCGTGCGTGTGGCGGCCTGCGGAGCAGCCCCTCACCTTTGTGTGTGAGTGTGAGTGTGAGTGTGTGTGTGTGTGTGCGCCGCTCTGCCCTCGGCTCGCTCGGCAGCGATGCTGCCTCTCCCTCGGCTGCGGCCCTCGCCTCCCCGCACAACCCAGAGCTCGCTCAGAGTCAGGAGGGCTTGTTAGAAGCAAGGGAAGAGTTTCAAGGTAGGTTAAAAGCTTCAGCCTTTTTGTTTGGACCTGTCTATTTGCGTGCTGGTTTTTGGAAAAGTGCTCTGGCAGGTTTGTTTGTGCTGGTGCAACACGTTTGTGAGACCTGAGAAAACCTGCACAACTCTCTCTATGGGTATCCTTAGAATGTGTTTAATCTGCTCTTGATACAAGCTCTGCAGGGCATGAGCTTTCTTTTTATTATGTGTCAAGCATAGTATCTAGAACAATGGTTTTTAGATCGATTTTCAGATTACTAGATACTTTTCTAATGGAAACAATAAATTGTGAAAGTGTGCTTGAAACATATGTCAGAGAGAACAGTGCTTTTCCAGTACCAGGAGTGTGTACTTTATTTAGCATCGTATTCTGCATCAAAGCTTGATTGCTTCTGCAAGCCGCTGGAAAATACAGTGACTATGCAATCCACTATATCCAGTTTACAAATAGTAATAGGGGAATCACAGTGCCCAGAGCAGAAAAAACAGTGTCCAGAGTAGAAAATGTCGGGTGTACTGTGACAGAATGGGAAGCCCTGCATTGACAGACCCGATTTCAGGACATGAAGCTTGAGTCCATCAATATTTACTAGCTCTGCTTCAGCGGTGCTCCTTGTGGCACCCAAATAGGATCAGACGAGAGCCTTTCGACACGCTTGGACCTTCATCTGAAATTGCAGTAATTCTGCTCAGACGGTGCATATCTCTGCTGCTAAGCCTAAGTGAACCCCATCTGCCTTACACAGAGCCAATTCAGGTGTCTTTCCTTTGTGGCCTTAATTGCACTTGAATAATTTGGAGTCATCTATTTTTCTAGGCATTTCCAGGCGCCAGATAAATGCACCCTGTGAGCCGAGTTTAGCGCATCGCGTTATCAGGCAGGACCGTAACCGACAACCAACGCTACATTTCAGGGGGCTCCGGTCCTCCTCCCCAGAACGCCTCCGTGGGGCGCCGACAAAGGCAGCGCAGCCCCGGGCAGTCCCGCGGGGAAGGGCGGGCTGCGGGAGCGGCGGCCGCCAGGCCTTCCCCTCCCCTCGGGTGCGGGGCGCTCCTGCGGAGGGCCGGCCGCGGGCCGGGTAGCGCAGACGAGTCCCGGCGGGGAAAGCACGCGATCCCGGCGGCTCCCGGGGCGCGGAGGCAGCAGGGGTCACCCGCCGGGGCGAGGCAGCGCCCGGCCCCCCCCCGCAGCCGCCGCCGCCCCAGGGACCGCCCCGCGGCCGGGCCGCGGCGGGCGGGCGGTGGCAGTGACTGACAGGCGGCGTGGCCCACCCGGAGGGCGGAGGCGGCGGGGGCCGCCAATCAGGGGCGGCGGGCGGGCGCCGAGCGGCGGGAGGGCGGGGCGCGGGCTGGGCGTGTGCCGCGGCCGCCGGCGGGGCGCGCTCCCGCTCCGCTCCCGCTCTCCCCGCACGCACATTGTCCGGGCGCGGCGGCGGCACAGCGCCCCGGCGCCCCGTGCCAATGCGGGGCGGGTGCGGCACGCCGGGGGCGCCTCCACCACCGCGGTGGAAACTTCCCCTCGCCGCCGGGCCGACGCGCGGCTGAAGCCCCCGGCGGGGAGGAGCGGAGCGGGGTTTCGCCCGCCTGGGGGGGCGCCTCGTCTAGTTTGGGTTTTCCTACATTGGAAGGGCAAAAGCGAATACTGTTACCCAGCTTTAAACTTCCGCGCTCCGCTCTCCAGGACGCGCATCCCGCCCGGCGGGGTGGGCGAGCCGGTGAGTGACCGCCGGGAGCGGGCTGGCGCTGGGTCGCGGTGGGTGGGACGCGCCGTCGCACAGGGGCAGCGCCCACCGGCTCGGCGGGGACGGGTCGGCAGCGCCGCCGCCACCTGTTAGCGGGGCTGTTCCTGCCCCCCCCCGCCACCGCCGCCAAGTTCGTACTCCCACCGTGCTCGGGCTGTCCCCGCCGTGCCCGGGGTGGCGGTGAAAAGGGCCCGGGGTGCTGGGGGCGGTGGCGGCCACCCACCTGCTCGCCTGGCCGCGCCATGACTCTGCTGCCTGGGCGCTGCCTGCCGACCCGAGCCCCGGCAGGCCGCCGGGGTGGGAGGGTGGTGGGGTACCACCGAGCGGCAGCTTCTGTACCCCCTTTGCCCTCCCTGCTCTCTGCCCTCCAGCCCCTGCCCTCCTTCTGCACCCACTGTGCACTCCTCCTCCTCCCAAGCTGCAGCCCTTTTTCCTTCCCTCCCTTGCCGTCCCGCTCCCTTCCGTGTCCCTTAGCTGCAGCCGTGTTCCCCTCCTCTTATTCGCGCCCCCAGTTTGCAGCCTACTGCACCCGTGTTCCCTCATCCCCTTGCATCCCTCACACTGCTCCTGTGATGCTTCAAAGGGGGAGTCCCGGACTCCCCACTCTTTGCCAAAGCAGATGCCTGCTGGGCTCTGACACCCCCCGGGCGAGGCCAGCTCCATGGCGGTGCCAGGCCCGGTGCGAGGCGCGGAGGGGGCAGGCAGGTGGCGGAGGCGCAGGTATTTGTGTGCAGCTGCGAGCAAGGGAGCGAGGTCCCCCGTTCTGTGAGCATGCGGCTCTGCGGAGCTGGTGACACCTCCCTCCTCTCCCTCCCTTCCTCCCTCCCTCCTAGGGACGCTCGCCGCCGGGGCTCTGCGGCGTGCCGAGGCTTCCTGCGCCCTGCTGCCCTGCAAAGGGTGTCGCGGAGTCCGCGGCTGCATCATCTTCACCCCACGTGAAGGTGCTTCTGATAGCTCGCTTGGCCCATACAGGTCCTGAGTGGGAATGTGTTTAAAAATTACCTCAAGCAGTGGAGAGAGCCTGGAGACAAAAGAGATGATGAGAAGTCAGAGTGGACTGGTGAACTCTGGAGCTGCTGGAGAAATGCTTAGGACAGCTGGAAACAGGACTGTGCAGCAGGAATGGCTTGTTAAGTCATTGCATGGCAAGTCAAGCCATTGATATTCCAGTGTCCTAAGTTGGATGGTCATATCTGTTGTAGCCTGTGATATGCAAGTTGCTCCTGGGTAGGTCTTTGAAATGCAGAAGGGGTACGAACTCCTAGTGAGGCTGTGTCAAGGTGTACTTCAGTCTGGTTGGCATGGGTAGGATGTGCAGCTTGGAGCAGGAACTGGTTTTGAATGGAGGTAAACACATGAGGTTTGGTGTGTGCTCAGCTAAAGAGTTGCTGTAGTCAGAATTGCTGGTATGTTCATCCTTCACAGCTCTGAAGTATTTTAATTCTACAGCTGGTGATTTGTGTGATTTCCCCAAGTGTTTTTAAGACAGCCATGTCTGAATCCATGTGTATCACCCCTCTGTGTGTCTGGTGCTTTCTTTCTCCTCATAAAATGTCTTTCCTGTGTGATTAATAATGTGCCAACTGCTTCATTTCAGCACTGGGGAGGCTGATGTTGATTGATTTCCCTGTTCAGTCTTCTCGGAGGGTCTGGAAGCTGATGGGTGTTATCACTGCAGAAAAGTCTGCTTTTGGGTGGGAGCTGTCAGCATGTCTTTTTTTTTATCTCAGCGAACCTCTTACTTCTTTTCATTAAAAAGAGATGAAGTGTGCGTGGTAATACCCTTCATGTTTACATTAAAATGATCTTGTAATTAGCAGTAATTATCTCAGTTTGGGATATTGCTGAGATATTTAAACAGGACATATGACCTGAGGGACACTTTTCCGGCCCCAGGGAGTTGCCCTTGTTGTGGTTCTCTCCTGTGGTGAGTTTGATTCAGTGGTGAAGGTAGAACAGCAGTGGGAGTAGCCTCGTGTTCCTCTGATGTCAGCCTAGAAAGCCATGGCCACGGTTTCCTCCTGAGCCTGGTTCTGCTCCCCAGGGCTCCCTGGCAGCCCTGCCACCACGTGTGTGGAGATGCCCTGCCTTTGATGGCTTTCACCCCATGGTCTGACGAGTCTCAAGGGGACCTTGCTATTGTCTTGGGGGAGGGAGATAAAAACAGGCTGAAAAAATGCCAAGTGACCTTTTTTCCCCACCTGGTTCTCCCAGGGAGGTTTGGAAAAGGCTGCTGATAATGTGGGAGACTTTTCCCTGTGAGAGTACAGATCCTGAGACATCCTTGTTCATCTTTTACCTGACTTCCGTTTAAGAGGAGAAAAGCTCAGCTCAAACATAAGCATTTACTTCCAGGCTGGATATGGCTCCCACTGCCTTCCCTCCTGCTACCAGTGCACCCCAAATTTACCTTTCTATGAGGCTGCCCTTGGAGCTCACCAGATTTTCTTGAGGTGAAAAACCTTTATGGAGTAGAAAAACTGGGGAAAACATTCAACAAAATAAAGTCAAGACAAAAAGTACTGCCTATAGAGAAGGATTCCTTGTGCGAGGGTGGTGATTCTCTTCTGTCTCTCAAGATGAGTTATACAGTATACTGTATTTTTGTCAGTCTAGGAAAAGCCAAATGTTGTGCTTCAAGTAATCTTTAATTGTAATTTATCCCCAGCTTTCTATTTCAGCATTTTTGAACTGTAAACTTAGAACCAGAACTTATTGAGCAGCAGATAAAAATGTTGAATGTATTTGAATTTTACTTGTATTAATCTAATAACATTATTGACATGATATTTGATCAGCTCTATACCTGGCTGAAGACCACAAAATAGTCTTAATCAAACAAATTATTTGACAAATACAGATGAGATTAAATTAATGATCTATTTGTCAACTGCTGTTCAGC